TTTGCAAGATCATAATGGTACCTTCTACCTTGCAATTCAATTGGGCATTTTGGATGACGTATGCTAAAAATTAGTCAAGTTTACCTAACTACTGAGATACTACAGAGATTGCACCCCTATATTATCCTGCGCTTGTAAAAATGCATCACAAATATACTCCCTCCGCACGGGTTTATTGGCCCCCCTCGTATTTAGGCTCAAACTTTCACTATAAATTTGACTAATAAAATATAAACTGTATGTCGCAAAACACCATACCATTGGAATCCTCTTTCAAATAAAATCAGCATATAAATCATATTTTGTTAGTCTAGATGGTCAAAGTTTGACCAAATACGACGGGCCCCAGTAAACCCGGATGGAGGAAGTACATTGTTCCGTTGATTTTGTAGTTTATCGAGCAATGTTCATGATAAATTCGTGAGTAACTTATCATGTTTGTATCTAATAGAGTAACAAAATTTGATTTCTCATCTGATCATGGTTTGTTATTCTTCTCGGTGCAACTTTAAGTTGTAGGACTGTACTCTTTCCTACATTTCTTAATAATTGAAGAATAAGGCTCTTAGAGCATCTCCAACTGGACTGGCCTAATTTGGGCCCCTAGACATCTGCGAAAGCGTCTGGACAGTGTCCGGTGCCAGTGCACGCAGCTAGGGGTGGGCATAGAAACTTAGGAACTGAATACCGAACCAAAACTGTTACCTAAAAGACCGAAATGTTGGTTTTTATCCCTAGTACAGATAAATTCGGTGTTCACTTTCACTAACAAATTAGATAAGGTCGGTTCGGTGTTACATCGGTTAAGCTGATAGAAACCGACCTGTATGGCAGGGTGTTATATTCCAGTGGAATGAATCGCGCTCCTAGCCTCCTAGTCCTAGGAACGTAGACACCCACGACTCCCACATGGTCATGTCGTTGATGCCAGGACATTTTTAGCACTTTGCTGACGCTTAGTTTTTTTTGAGCGGCTTCGCGGATGCTAAGTAGGCCTGGCATCCAGCAGCCAGTTAGGATACTAGTCGGCCTGCAACCAGGTTCTCTGGATGCCATGCCCGTGGGCCTGCATGCAAGCCCCAAGCCCAACATACATATTTCTTCTATTGTTTGAACCATTTAGCTTTTAGCATCAGACGACAACAGTAGTCCAATTGATTTAATCCCACCTCGCGTGGGTAAAGAGAAGAGGCAAGATAGCTCAGCTATAATAGGGATGGTTGTGAGTGGCGAAAGCACGTATATGTGAAACATTTTTTCGGTACAAACCGGAAACTGAACCGGACATGGCGGACTGCCTGGACACCCTCATAACCTCCCCAAATATGGGCTGGATTTGAGGGGTGCTGGTAGCGCAGGCGTATAGGGATGATTTGGGGGGTCTCTGGTTGGGTAGGCTTTTTCACTGTCTCTCCTGTCCGGGCACTGTCCAGGCTGTCCGCCCAGCTGGGAGAAAGTGAGGGTTTGAAGATGCTCTTAACTACTGCATATTTGAAACAGTAATCTGGATTACCTGTAAGCGACATATTTCCCCTAGTGCAGTGAACTGGTTTTCAAATGGTATATTGTTCCTTGCTAGACGAGTTTTTGGCAAATCAACAAATTTGTAATGTTTATGAAGCAGGAAAATTCCCCCCCAAAAAATTATGACCTGGGTTGCTTGTCATGCTTTAGTCATGGATTTAGTGATTTACTTGAGTGTAATCAACAAACTTAATGACCAGGTCCTTCATCTCTTCAGGGATGTCATATCAATGTTGGTGGTTACAAATCCCTGGCAAAATTGATTCAGGCAGTGTGCTAGTAACCTGCCCTACCATCATGCTTGTGGGGTTCGAAGATGGAGAAATCAATTTTGACTGCTGGAGCAGAAATATTGTGAACGCAAGGCACCCTGGCCGGAATACTTTGCGTGTCATCTTTGACTCTTTTTAAGGGGAGTGCTGACATTGGCGCTTCCACATGGGATTTAGGACAGTGCGGTGAGCTGTGTAACTGTCATTATTACAATTTACCCTTCTTTTGTTGATTATTGACTATTGCTGGATGGTCGGTGGTTGGCATCTTATGTACAATTTATACAGCGGTTATGTTCGCTTTCCCCTTGTTTCAATTTTCGTCATCTGCTGTTTAGTTGGTTGCTGGGCAGGAAGTATAGTAACATGTTGATGATAAAAGAAAAGTAAGTACAGTAGCTTATCGGATAACTAAAAAGACTACAACTTGCGACTTTGAATCCAGTTTCGTGAATTCTTGAACCTCGTTATCATAAAGGCAGTGTAGCAGTTTCACTGTGCCCTGTTTTAATCTTCTCAGTTCATAGAGTGGGTTTTCGATTTATGCAGTTTGCTTCCATCTATTGTCATTGTGCTGTATTGCACATTGATGGTTGTTCTGCTCCTTATCTTATATACGTATTGCCTATTTTGATAAGTCTGGGGTCTTTTATTTGCGCCTTTATTACCATCTTGGACAGCTCATAACCTGGGAGATAACATGCAGAAATGTATGCTGTCAAAGTATTGGATGCCTATTCACAATGTCATATCTTGTGGTTTAGAGTTACATTCCACAGACCTTTGTATCCTTGTCTACTCTGCAGCCGATGGCTGATACTCCCGCGGTGTGAATTTACATCACCGTCCGTATTAAGAATAGAGTGCGTGTGTAGCTTCAGACTTGAGCAGATTCTGCGCAAGCAAATGCGTAATCCGTACAGCCTCTAAGATTATCCCACATAACGGAGACTGTGTTCCATATCTAAATTCCGGTCGTTGACATGAACAGAGCCACATTGTTCTTCATTATGATGAGCTAGGTAGCTGGCTATGCCGAACTGACAAAACTGAAACAAATGAAACTAGGTTCTAGCTTTAACGGAGCACTAAGGAGAGTGAAAATTGGAAGAGGAAGAAAACACCGAGAATCACTACCTAGAGAAAATGGCAGAAAGATTATATCCTGATCTTGGCTAGGAAACAAACAGAAGGCTTAATTTCTCTAAGAAGGATTCAGAATTTCAGACCCTGCTGTTCTGCGGCATGGGGATGACGCCGTTGAAGAAGTCCCCGAAGTATCCCGGCGGCTCGTAGACGAGCTTGGCGATGATGTCCCTGAGCGTGATGAGGCCGTCCAGGTTGCCCTCCCCGTCCACCACGTAGATCCTCTGCCTCTTCTCCGCGTCCAGCTTCAGGATGATCTCCTTCATGTTGTCCTCCCTGGTGCACGTGATGATGCTCATCTGCTTCTCCCCCGAGCACTGCCGCGCGCTCGCGATGAACTCCCTCGCCGTCAGCGTCCTGCATGCATGCATGCGTTCGCCGGCCGTCAGCGTCATGAACAAGCTAGGTTGATGATGATCTGATGCGATCACGCACCTGTAGTGTCCGGTTGACTCGGAGGCCGTGAGGAGGTGCTTGACGTCCTTGATCATGATGCTGCCGACGGGCTTGCCGGCGGCGTCCACCACGGGGATGCCGCCGACGCCGCGCCGCCTCATCTGCCGGAACGCCTTGAGCGCCGGGTCGTCCTCGCAGACCTTGACGAGCCGGCTGGTCTTCATGAGGGGGAGGCCCAGCTCGGCCAGCGTCTTGGTGCCCCAGTCCTCGAACCAGCTCAGCCCCACGCACTCGGACAGCATGTGCACCACCGCCGCCTGCGTCACCATGTTGCTGATGGTGCCCTCGCCGATGTCCACCACGGGGAGGCTCTTCATCCGGTACTTGGACAGCAGCAGCAGCATGGTGAGGAACGTGTCTGAGCTCTGCAGCGCCAGGAACGGCGCCCACCGGAACGACCCGGAGATGTCCTTCACCTTGGTCTTCCGGAACAGCTCCGACGACGGCAGCGACCCGAACGCCTCCGCCACCGCGCCCTCCGCCTCCGACGCCGGCGCCGCCGGCTTCAGCTCCGGGTCGAGGGTCACCGTGCCGAGCTTGGCGGCCATCTCGTCGGCGCCCAGCGCGGCCGCCGAGGTCTCCGACTGGTGCAGCAGCCAGACGGCGATCCCGGCGAACTCCACGATGCCGATGTAGCGGTCGATCCAGCTGGCGTCCTCGGGCGCCTCCACGTTGCGCACGGGCGCGCCGTTGATGCGGTTCCGGGAGAGGATGTCGACGGCCTCGGCCAGCGTGGCGTCGGAGGGGATGTCCACCAGCTGCGACCCGAAGGTCTGCGGGAAGGAGGAGACCGGGATGGCGTCGAAGCAGCTGTTGAGCTTGTCGCTCCGGCTCAGCTGCGGCTGGTCCAGGCTGTCCCAGATGTCCTCCACCCGCATCCCGATCTCCGCCTCCGGGCTCCACCGCGCGCTCAGAGGCGTCTCCGCCGCCGCCGCATCCTCCTCCCCCCGCTGCTCCGGCTTCGTCCGGATCTCCCGCCTCGCCTGCATGGCTCCCGCCTCCTCTCTCTCCCCTGTCGGAAGCCTCTGCTCTACTCTGGTCTTCTTGGCTCCCTCGTCCACGACCACCAGTGACCTCGCGTTGCTCGGTCGCTTCCTCGGCCCGATAATGGTGGCGCGAGCGAGCTGCCCGAAGGTTTCGCGCCAGAACGGCAGGGGACGCTGCCAAGTGGTTCGCCGCCCGGCAGCTGAGCTCCTCTGAAACATGCACCAAAATTCCAGCAAAAAAAAAGAAACGGAATTCCTCTGGACGGCAACGGGCCGAAATTCCCAGTGGGCTTCAAACGGGCCCAGCTTGCGAACTGCCGAGCTGGGCCGGGCCGCGGGACATGCTTTTCTATCTCCTCCCGCAAGTCATGCCGGGGACCCGCCGTGGACGCGCTGTCTCGCTGGCAGGTGGGGACGAAGCTCGAAGGGCCCGCCTGGCAGCCTCCTAGAAAAGCGGTGCGATCCCCTCCCCCTACATCAACAACTACTAGTTCCCCACCCCCGCCTCCGTCGACGCCTCCCCCAAATCGAAGCGAGGCCTAAAACCCTAGGTAAGCCCCCGGCACCGCCCCGCCTCGCCGCCGCACCGGATCTCGCCGTCGCCGTCGCCGTCGCCATGGACATGGCAGCGATGAACGACCCGGAGAGGCTCTTCTTCTTCGACCTCGCCTGCAAGACCGCCAAGTCCACCTACGACGAGAACCCGCTCGACGCCGACGTAACGCCTCCCCCTCCTCCTCCTGCTCCGCTCCGGCGGTTCGTTCCGAGGGGAACGCGACTGCGGCGGCCCCGCCTGATTTGGTCTGATCTGATCTGATGTTTGTTTTGTGCGCGGCAGAACCTGACGCGATGGGGCGGCGCGCTGCTGGAGCTGTCGCAGATGCAGAACGGCCCTGAGAGCCTCAAGTGCCTCGAAGGTACGCCGCGAGATTTGCTCCGTGTCGGAACTTAGTGGCTTTGACTGATTATTCCTAGAGAAGTTGGAACTTGGAATAGATCCTACCTAACAATTTGGTCGCGGCCTTTCATTGTGTTTGCTAACATTGCCATAAAGGTTATTGTGTTCAACGTAGTTGTGCTTTTATGTCCACTAGTTTTTTATTTATATCATGTGCCAGTTAGTTGTATCGAAGGTATACTTGAGAAATAAGTTACTCTGATTTGTTAGAAAATAGGAGATCATTATGGATGGTCGTGTGCTGAACACTGCAGTATTTGGTTGGTACAATATTCTCAACCACAGAACAAACATTAATATGGTTGGTAGTGCTAGTGAACAACTGAACATATCTGCATTTGGCGTTTGGAGTGTGTTAACAGCTTGTTTTACCTTTAATGGTTAGATGAGTGCTTGTAGCATGCTTGATTTGTGTGTGGTTTTGTTCCCAGCATGTACAGAACATGTAGTTGCATTTGTTTTATGATGGAATTTATGCTGCCAAGCACAATGACCTTCCAAAATAATCTGACACAGACTGATTGTGGAACTTCAGTTTGGTTGTTTTCATGTACTATTTGCTTGCTTTATTTTGTTGTATCATAGAGCTGTGTTCTGGATTCATCTGTAAGTAGGATTACGTGCATGCCTGTCTAGTTGGAGTGGTAATAGGCACTGATAATTTGGAGTTCGCATATAATCACAAGACTTGTGCCTGAGTGAGCGTTTTATGGCCACCAGTTTTTATTTATACCATGAAGTTAGGTATACTTGAGAAATAGGTTACTCTGATTTGTGAGAAAATAGGAGATCATTATGGATAGTGTGCTGAACACTGCAGTATTGGGTTTGTTGGTACGATGTTACCAACCACAGAACACATTGAGACAGTTAGGCCATGTTTGGAATGTCGTTTCGCTAGCAATTACACCTCTAAACAATACACGTCTCCGTCTGTCGTTTCGCTTCCAGCTGGAAATCGCCACTGGCTCTGTAATTTACACCTGTAAATTAAATATATGTGTATTCAAATACACCCAATCCAAGCGCGCCCTTAGTAGTGCTAGTGAACATATGTGCACTAGATGTTTGGAGTGTGTTAACAACTTGTTTGACCTTCTTTAAGATGAATGCTTGTATGGAACTTGCTTGATTGTGTGTATGGAACCTGCAATTGCATTTGTTGTATGATGGAATGTGTGGTGTTCTTTCTAACATTTATATGGAGCCTGTAGTTGCATTTGTTATGTGCGTTTATCAGATTGATGGTAATGGCGGTGTTTGTATATTTAGAATAACAGGCAGATTTAGGGGTCCAAGTTATTTATGCGTGTGAACAGCATTACTGTTTCTTTTTGGAGTCGTATTTCCCGTGTAGTAAAAAAAGTGTGCTAGGCGACAGCAGAACGCCTAGCTCTTAATCATGCTAAGCATGTGAGTAGGTGAGATAGGTGCTAGGCAGTGGCCAAGTCCACTATCAGTGCCAAGTGTTTTGCCGTGGTGTTCAATGAAGCAACACTTCAATTTATGAACACTTTTTGTGGTGGTTTGCTGGAGACCCACACATTAGATTCATTTCAAGAATTCACCACATGTCAGATATTAGGTTACTGGATTCAAATTTATATTGCATTGTAACACCAGGCTGAGCCTATGCTGCCAAACAAAATGACCTTTCAAAATAATCTGGCAGAGATTAATTATATAACTTCAGTTTGATTGTTTTCATGTACTATTTGCTTGCTTTATGTTGTTATCATAGCACTGTGTTCCAAATTCATCCTTAAAGTAGGATTACATGCATGTTTGTTTAGTCGGAGTGATAATTGGTACTAATATTTTGGAGTTTGCATACAATTATATAGCTTCTGCGTGACTTACTGTTTTTTGAGTTTATGATTGGGGTCAAAAGTGGGGTATTTGGCTAATCTAGTTTTATTTCTTATAGATGCTGAGTCTAAGCTGGATGAAGCACTGAGAATTGATCCCAACAAGGCTGATGCACTCTGGTGCTTGGGGAATGCCCTGACCTCTCGTGGATTCTTCACTTCGGAAACTGTCCAGGCTAATGAATGCTTTGAAAAAGCAACTGGTTGTTTCCAGAGGGCTGTTGATGTGGTATGTGTAGTCTGCTTGAGTAGTTTGCATGTTCCATGCTGGAGGCTGATCCATGGGCCTGAGATCATATGCACGCAGTTTCACACACAAGCCTCTGAAATGGTTTCTGTTAATAAGTTTCTAAGCATATTCAGCTGGAGATTGAGATATGTGCATGTTTCTTGTAGGAACCAGCAAATGAGTTGTACAGGAAGTCATTGGATTTGTCATCAAAGGTATGCTTTGTTCTATCATCATGTTTGGCTATATCTTTGCTCAGTTATTATTATACCATTATACCATTTCATTCAACTATTCGAGTCGTTTTGATGCAAGTTTTTGAATCTTCTCCAGGTTCCTTGTTTTATTTGATGCTGTCAACATAATTTAAAAGCTGACAACACCCCATGCCTATGATAGAAAACTTGTAATAGGTCTTACTCAGATTGGCTCACTAGCAATGCAAGAACTTCTAAGCTATAGGGGGAATTTGAATCCCCTAACTACCCTGTATCTGTAGTTTCTTTGTATCTAAATTAACTCTGAACCTTTTATTCGTAGCATAGCATATTTGAGTATGCCTGCATATCACTTTGTATTGCCTTTCTGTAACATTTGTGTGCAATCACCCTCAGGCACCTGAACTGCATATGGAGATCCATAGGCAAATCGCATCTCAAGCCTCACAAGGAGCACCCTCGTCCTCAAATGCAAGGGTATTTTGTTTAACATTGCTCTGCTTACCACTTTTTTGCTTATTACATTTTCTACCCTTGACATATGTAAGGAGTCCCTATTTCTTTTTACTGTACATATTTTTTGGTTCTGTTCATCTCATTTCCTGTGAGTACCCAGAAATCTGCATTTGAATTGTCGTACATGTGGATCCTTAAGACATCCTTCTCTCATTGTACTAGTCAATCCAGTAGTGTTAACAAGAGTGAAGATATATTGTTTCAGTAAACAGGCAGTGGGTGGATCAATATATCAGTAATTTTAACCCTTCGCACATTTGTCTTATACCCATCCTATTGCTGTCAATTCTTTTAGTAAAGAGGCTGTGTGAAAACAAATTGTTTCACTAAACAGGCAGTGGATACTCAATATTTTTTGATGTAATATCTGTATTTTCCCCCTTGCATTTCTAACAAAATACATAGCCCTGTTTTTTTCTTCTAATTGATGTGCTACATGCTATGTATGCCTATTCTGCCATATGACCTCGAGTATATTTTCTTGGACATACATCTGGCCTTGATTTTTGACATTATGTCCACACGCCACATATACTCTACTCTGTTCCTTGCTGTACCTAACATGAGAATTTATTGTGGTTTGCAGCAATCAAGGAAAAAGAAGAAGAACAATGACTTCTGGTATGATCTGGCTGGATGGGGAATTCTTCTCGTTGGCATCGGTGTTTGGCTAGGAGTGGCCAACAGTCAAGCCAAGGAGGCACAACCACCTCACATGTCACACCAGCCTAACATGTGATTCAAGACGAGACTTGGAAAAAGGGAAACCTGCAAATGGCATGCCTATGTTAGGACTTAGCAAAAGTTATGGAGAGGAAATGGTGTTTCCATGTTGCGGTTTTTTGTGGAATTTTTCGACATGCGGCGGGCCTTGATGAGGTTTGTCTTGTCATACGACGCTGGATATGCTTCTTACTTTATGCGCTTCTCTTGTTAGCGGGAACCATTGCTGTGGTTATGGCCTTTTCACATGCCCTAGATAATACAGTATTGAGTACTGATGTGCTTATAAGCGGCATATACCTGCTTTCTGTGATCATTCTTTTTGTTTGCCAATAATTTGTAATTGACTTTTGACGAGCTCATCTCATACTCTCTATTGGTGTCTGTTTGGCATTTTTTTTCTATATTAAAATGCATGCCATCATGTTATCTACTCCGTTCCATATACAAGTTTTTGTGAAGATTTCATTACGGACCACATATAGATGTATATAGATGTATTTTAGAATGTAGATTTACTCATTTTGCTCCGTATGTAGTTCATAGTGGAATCTCTCCAAAGTTATACTCCCTCTGTTTCAAATTACTCGTCGCAGAAATGGATGTATCTAGAACGAAAATACATCTAGATACATCCATGTCTGTGACAAGTAATTCGGACCGGAGGGAGTATTTAGGAACGGACGGAGTATTTTGAAGTTGGTTGGAACCCGACGGGACAGGCATGCGCCCATGTTGTCACACATGCAGGCCTGGCAACATGCCTGACCTCGTCCCACCTAAATTATGGGCAACGTAGATGTGAGCGCAACCAGAGTTCTGACGTGCATGTAAAGGTTGGCCTTGTGCTATCTTTTACATGTACTCCCTTCGTTCCTAAATTTAAGTCTTTTTAAAGATTCCACTACAAACTACATATGGATGTATATAGATATATTTTAAAGTGTAGATTCATTCATTTTGCTCTGTGTGTAGTTCATAGTAAGATCTATAAAAAGATCTATATTTAAGAACGGAGAGAGTATTCACCGAGCTGTTGGCGCGACGCGTCCGGGTCTCCGGCCGGGGGGCTGCACTGCACATGCCGTCGCCGGGAGGTACGGGTACGGTGTCCGTCCGTCCGGCCGTGTGGGGGCTCCAGAGAGATGGGCTTGAGTTGATTGCTGCATGTTATTAGTAGCATCTAATGATCTCCATGTACTGCAAATCAAGAAAAGCCCTATCGTCTCGTCCCTACCCCATCCTACTGCTTTGGAGATGATGATCCCTTCTTCTCAATCCTGCCCAATCAGGAGGGCTGTCAGACCCGGCAACGACACACCTGCGTCCACCTTTTGGTGAAGACATTGCATTTTTTTTTTCCCGATGTTGTGGCCTTGAGTGCGCACTTCCTTGTTGAAGGGGCTGCTTTGTAAGTTTATGTCCTAGGATGCAGTTAAGCTAGGCAGAAGATGGTAGCCGGCCTCGGCCTATAGCTAGGACTTAACTCATGGCATGACCCATCCACGGGATGTTTCCTTCGATAGTGGGCATCCTTATGATAGGATGTGCTCCCCTAGGACCCGACTTATGTCACTCATGGCGGTGCACGTAGGACGGCCGCACAAAGACGGCTTAGGAGGGGAGAGGTGTAGGGTAGCAGCTGCTGAGGGCAATGTGGGGGATGGATTGGGTTCAACACAGCGCACCTCAACTCCACAGGAGGATGCTTCCTTCTCACGCCGGCCTGCGCCTACGACGAGCAGCAGCTGCCGCTACAGGAGCAGCCGGCCGGCCGGCCGGCCGGACCATGACATGCAATGCAATGCACGGGCGATGGGGCCTCCCTCCGCCGTGCGCTGACAATCCGTCACCTCTCATCACCACCCCGTGTCGGGTGACTCGGCTCCAATCCATCATGCATCCATGGGCTGCGTACGTTGCAAGCACCAGTTTTATTGACTCGTACCACCACAAACGCACGCTAGCTCCCTGGGATCTGTATGTAGTGGCTTAGGCAAGATCGGTCGAATTAGTCAAGCTTTTGTCAACACAATGAAAGAGGATCCTCGGCGTCGTAGCCACTTAGCCTGTAGCCAGACACTTGCAGTGGTCGGTTAGTGTAAACGGGAGGAAAATTCGTCAGCAAGGTTGAATCTCAGGAGCTCTGGCTGAGAAAGAACATGGTCGTGTGGAGAGAGTGTTAGAGAATATTACTGTAATCCGTTGCGTTGTAATCCTAACCTCCTTCCTATTCCTTGTTCTACTCAAACTCCTTCTTATCTCTTGTACGCCAAGGCAAGGCTTCTGCCACACATCAATATATACGAGACGCGGCTCCCCTCGAGGGAGTAGAAACGCTTATTATCTTTCATGGTAATCAGAGCCACCTCTTCTCATACATCTAGCCACAAACCAAAACCCTAGAACCGCATATTATCATCACCATGGCTTCTTCAGTAGGCGTCGCCCTCAACCTCGGTTCGCCGCCATCAGAGAAGCTAGCAAGAGGAAATTTCATCCTCTGGAAGACCCAGGTGCTCCCGGCCCTGTGAGGTGCACAGGTAACCGGGCTCTTGGACAATTCTGATGCCGCTCCGCCCAAGACTGTGGAGGTCACGAAGGCGGACAAGACGACGGCCCTAGAGCCGAACCCTCTGTACAGGCCCTGGATCGCCAAAGATCAGTAGGTCCTCTCATATCTTCTTAACTCCATGTCTCCAGAAATTCTTGCGCAAGTCGTCGGGAAGGACTCCATCTATGAGCTCTGGACGACGGTGAACAATCTCTCCGCCTCGCAATCACAGTCCCGGATCACCAATCTAAGGATCGCGATCACCAACACCAAGAAGGTCACAATGTCGAGCTCGGCGTATATGGCGAAGATGAAGAGCCTTGGGGATGAACTAGCTGCTGCTGGTCGTCCTGTCTTTGATCCAGAGATGGTGGACTACATCCTGGCAGGACTCGACCGCGACTACGACTCCGTGGTGGCGGCGATCGGCGCTGTCAAGAACACAATTACCGCCGACGACCTCTTTGCTCAGATCTCCGCCTTTGATCAGAGAATGGAGATGTTGGGAGACTCGTCATCAGGCGGGTTTCATTCATCTGCCAACGCCGTCTATAGAGGCCGCGGCCAGTCCCGTGGCAGACCCCGCCGGCGAGGAGGAAGAGGGCGCGGCCGCGGTGACCGTGGTGATCGCCTCCCTCTCCTGCAAATAGAGGAGGCGGATTCAGAGGACGCCCTCGACAGCAACAGCAACAGCAGGTACGTGAGCAGCAGCATGACTATCCTGAGTGCCAGATATGCCTCAAACATCATCCAGGAGGTGCATGTGTCTGCTGGTGGCGCTATGAAGAGAGTGATCAAGAGGAAAAGGAGGCGCATGCTGTCTCCTACGGCGTGGACACCAATTGGTACGCCGACAGTGCAGCAACAAATCACATCACAGGTGAACTTGACAAGTTAACAATGCGGGAGAAATACAACGGAGGCGACCAAATTCGCATGGCAAGCGATTCTGGTATGAATATCACTCACATTGGTAGTTTAATTGTTAAAAACCCCATGAAAAATTTGCACCTTAAAGATGTCTTGCATGTCCCTCAAACTTCAAAAAATCTTGTTTCTGTTCATCGATTCACCCTTGATAACAATGTTCTTATAGAGTTTTATCCTTACTTTTTCTTGGTCAAGGACTTGAGAACAAGGAGAATTATTCTTAGAGGACGGTGCGTGGGAGGCCTCTATCCACTCATATCATCACCATCATCTTCATGGTCCAATAAACAAGCAAACATTGTCACCAAGCCATCATCATCAAGGTGGCATAGTCGATTAGGTCATCCATCTTCGGTCATAGTTAAATATGTTCTTAGCAAAAATAAACTCTCTTATGAGAATAGTGTTGAGTCAGTGTGTGATCCGTGTCAACAAGCAAAAAGTCATCAATTACCTTACCCTATCTCTACTAGTGTGTCTACTGCTCCTCTACAACTTATATTTTCAGATGTATGGGGGCCAGCCCCTACCTCAGTTGGGAGATTTTCTTACTATGTAAGTTTTATTGATGACTATAGTAAATTTACTTGGATTTACTTGTTAAAGAAACGATCTGATGTATTCCAAGTCTTCATCAATTTCCAAAATCTTGTTGAACGCAAATTGAACTCCAAGATCATTGCTATGCAAAGTGACTGGGGTGGTGAGTATGAAAAATTGAACTCTTTCTTCCAAAAACTTGGTATTTCACATCATGTTTCTTGCCCTCATGCTCACCAACAAAACGGATCTGCTGAAAGAAAGCACCGTCACATAGTTGATATGGGACTAGCATTGCTAGCCAATGCATCCATGCCACTCAAGTTCTGGGATGAAGCGTTCTTAACTGCCACATACCTTATCAATTTGCTTCCAAGTAAAGTCATAAAATTTGAAACACCCATTACACGGCTCCTTGGTGTCACACCCAACTACACATCCCTTCGTGTTTTCGGTTGTGCATGTTGGCCCAACCTTAGACCCTATAACACATGCAAACTCGCTTTTCGCTCCAAAAAGTGTGTCTTCTTAGGCTATAGTCCCATGCATAAAGGGGTTAAATGTCTAGATGTTCCTACTGGTAGGGTCTACATATCCAGAGATGTTGTCTTTGATGAGTCCGTGTTTCCTTTTGCTTCCCTTCATCCCAACGCCGGTGCACTTCTCCGCAAGGAAATCCTCCTTCTTCCTCCACATCTTCGGTCTTTTGATCATGGGGGCGACATTTGTACGAATCAAAGTGATGATATTCCTGCTGGTACTGGTCCTTCTCTGTTGCCCGTGCAGGTTCCTGGTGAAAACGGTGCTCAAAATGATCAAAATTTCGAAAATATAGCCCAAGATGATCTTATATTTCATGCCGAGGAAGGAGACGAACCTGGCACGGATGACGAAGCTGATCCGGCGGCGCCCGCAACTCCTGTGCATGTGCAGACCTTAGATCACGCGACAAAATCAGCCTCGGATCGCGCCCCTACCAGCTGCAGCGCTGG